GAAAGAGGGTGATGGCGTGGGCTCGGGTTGTGGTGGGAAAGAGGACGAGAAGTGGGTGGACTCGAGAGGATTTAAGAGGTAAAATCACAGACCTCGTTGATGGGTTAGATGTGGTGTACGGGACAGAGGTGTCCAGGGAAACGTGTGGCACGTGCACTGACCTGAGAAGGCCACCGCCCTCCCCCTAAGCCTCCCGACACCCTCCTCTTCCCAGCCTGTCAGCAGACAGTGTCCAGTGGTGACAATCGCCGCCGTCCACTGTGGTGCTCACAACGAATTCTGCCAGTTATACAGGCCAAACTTCTGTTTTGCAGATCAATTTTGCCATGAAAGTCATTTTCATGGAATAAGGCTTTTAAAAGTATTTAATTGATTGAATCTTTTATCTGACATCATGGAAACAAGAGAGTGTGACAGAATAAGGCACCTCTTCAATGATCTGCAGCAAATTAGAAAAGTAGAGGATTTAAGGTGTAAGCGGGGCCCGATGAAAGCCAAGGACGCGGCAGCACGTTACCCACACGAAGGTTTCACAGCACTTCTGACCGAGAACTGCAGTGGGTTAGCTCGTGGGCGCAGCACAAGCAGCACAGTCACATCACAGGGCACAGCACACATCCACTTCATGAAGGAATCTATCCCACACTTCCCATCTTCGTAGTAGTAACTTCCCAGGCTCATCCACAGTAGGGTAATAGAATGAAATAAAGAGTTGCTTTAAAATGATTTTGAAGTGCTTATATTCAGAGGCACTATCAAACTGGCCCAAAACATAACAGGTGTTTAAAAAAATTAGTTCCTTGTTAAAAAGAGGGAAATAATTTAGAACAATTATCTAATTTTAGCAAAATAATATTATACACCACAGTGAATTCGTGTTGTGTTGATTCTGTAGTCCTGTATGCACATAATTTGTACACTGAGTTTAATTTTATGGTGGTAGAAGAGCTATAAACATACGGACTTTTTACATGGTTTCATGAAAGTACATATCTAAGTAATCTCATAAATAATTTAAGGAAACTCAGGGGGTTAGGAGAATTAATCCCCTTCAATAGGTCTGAACCTTATGCAGGTTTGGGAGACACTGGGCGTTAAACCAGACGCCGTCTGGTGGACAAGGCCCTCCGGGATCTGGCCCCACACGGCCCCACAGCTTCGTTTCCTGCCGCTCTGCTGCTCAAATCTGAGGTCCTGACAACACTGTGACTTCCACACTCACGCCGGCTGTTCCCTCCAACCAGGACAAACCCAACAAACGTCAGAGCCCGTATTTACTCAACTGAATGAGATGTTACAGTGTGTCTAAATCTCTAATGGTCAAGTGTGCATGGGGGGCTCTCCCCCACATTATTGAGGAGTGTGAGCTGGACACCGGCAAACAAAGGCAAACAAACAACACGGAGGCATACGGCTCTGCAGGGCGAGGGCAGGGCCAGCAGTCCAGCCAGCATGGAGCCTTCTTGCCAAAACAGGTCCAGGCATTTCCCAAGTGTCTTCTTATCAGAAGGAGAGATAAACAACCTTGGGCTACATCAGTGATAACCTTTTTGGCATGAACGTCAGTTCAGGAAAATTTAAAATCTATACAGGCTGCATTTATTTTTCATTCAAAATAGTTCATTTATTGAGTCCTAGGATGAAATCATTTGTGTTCATTACAAGACCACCAATGAGAAAAATTGCTATTACTTTTTAGCTACTAAAATGTTACTGTCTGAGAATATTTGAGAAGTAACAATACCAAAGCATCTTTTTATTTTTTATTGTTTAATCTTTACTGTGTTGCTTTTACATTACCTTTTAGTCCCCTCATACCTCCCTTCTCCCAGCAGTCACCACACTGCTGCCCATGTCCACGAGTCCTTTCTCCTTTTTGCTCAATCCCTCCACCCACTAACGCCCCCCCAACCCACTGGCTGTCATCTGCTCTCCATCTATGAGCCTGTCTCTTGCTTGTTAGTTCAGTTTGTTCATTGGATTCCATATACAAGTGAAATCACCTTTTTAAACTCTTATCCTGAAATTAAGATCTCAGTGGATAATGGTATGTGGCTTGCAGCTGGCCATTGATCTAAAGAAAAAGAAAATAAAAAATATTACTTCTTGATTCAGACCAAGTTTATATTCCTCAGGGATTCAGGACAGCTTGTAATTCATATTTTACATTCTTTTTAAAGTAAATTTAAAAATTATTTTATTGTTGTTCAATTACAGTTGTCTGCTTCTACCCCTACCCTCCCCCTGAACCCAGCCAAACCCCTCCCTGCCCTGCATATTTTACTTTCTATTTGCTCACAGGTTCTTACAGTTCTAATAAAATCTCAGGTTTTAAAATCTTTAGCTAGCTATCTATCCCTCTATTTATTTATTTATTTATTTAAAGATCCTATTTACTTATTTATTTTTAGGGAGAGGGGAAGGGAAAGAGAAAGAGGAGGAGAGGAACATTGATGCATGAGAGAAACATGGACTGGTTGGTTCTTGTTCACACCCTGACCAGGGACCAAACCCGCAACCCAGTCATGTGCCCTGACCAGCAATGAGCAGGCGACCTTTGGATTTGCAGGATGACACCTAACCAACTGAGCCATACCTGTCAGGCCACTATTTACTTTTTAAAAAAATATTTTATTTATTTATATATATGCAGCTTGTGTTCTTTCTATATTCTATCTTTAGTAAGAATCTAGAAGATAGTAAACTTACTATCTTTAGTAAGTTTAAGACACTTTTTTCAAGTTTTATATTCTGGATTTATTCTATTTACCTAAAGCAGTATTTCTCAAAGTAACCCATGGAGTATTAGTCCTGCAAGATATTCTGAGAAGCAGGAATTTTCAAAGTCAACTAAGTTTGGAATATTGTGTACATGATATTCAAGTCACATGAGCAAATTTTAACTAAATACTCTGAGAAAGTCTGCAATAATAAAACCTATTAAGCCTTGTTTAATTTAGTATTTCCCAGATTTATTTGAACTTGAATAAAAATAATTTTTAGAAAAATAATTTTTTAGAAACAGCATTTAACATCCTGTAGAACTAGTGTTCTGTGGGAAAAACTGAGATATGCTGATCCAAAGTCATCTTAAACAGAAAAAGAAAAAAAGAATTTCCCAGGGGGGCAGGGATTCTCAGATGATGACGAGTCACACTGGGAAGAAAAGAGGGATGGTCCTTATTGGTACCTGAGACTGAGCAGAGAGGGCTCATGGGAACTGGGCTGGCTTTCGTCAACCCAGACATTTTACGTCTACAAGGTTCCATTCCAGTTGAAGCCACCCGAGCCACCTCAGGTGAGCCAGGATAACAGTGACAACTACTATTACTGCCATTGTTTCTGCTTCAATTTATTCATTGTTCAGGATAGGAAAGGCACTATACATGCATGATCTCCAAACACATAATCCCCTCACCCCCCATGCCACAGAAGGTTGGTTTTCTCCTCCCTATTTTAAAGAGGATGAAACTGAGGCTGACAGGAGGTGACAGGATCGCAGGAGAAACAGGATTTGGTCTTAGACCTTCCTTACTGCATCACAGTGACTCAGTCCGTTCAGCTTCTTCGTGCAAGCAATTGTGCTCCCTCTGTTCTCCAGGCCACTGATCACCCTCTCTGGAGTCTTCCCTAACAGAAACAATTCTAGAGTAAAACCAGTTAAACCATTGATTATTTTGGCCCACTTAACCATACCATGTCTGATTTCCTCTATGAACCAAATTTTGCGCACTCTAAACCTGATGAGACCTCTGATCACCTGGGCATGAAATACTATTTTGAAATTACTTCTTGAGGCTCTTGAAGAATCACACAAGAAAATCAATCCTAACAGTCAAAGCCAATGCAATGCTGACAGAGGCCAGGCAGGTAGCATGAGTGAGGGGAGCTGGTCAGGAACAGCACAGCAGGCGGTGGCAGAGACTGTGATGACCCAGAGAGAATATTGCTCCACCAAAAAGCTTAACTGTCTTCTTAGCTTCGGCACGTTGTTGTCAAGCAGAAATGGGAGCCTGATGTTGCTTGATCTCATTTTTCAAATGAATCCAGAAACACAGTTGTTATGTAAAATCTCCCAATACCAAAGCATTGACAACTAATTTCTTTAAAACACTAGCACACACCTGGCTGGTGTGGCTCAATGGATTGAGCACCTGCCTGGGAACCAAAGGGTCACTGGTTCGATTCCTAGTCAGGGCACATGCCTGGGCTGTGGCCAGGTCCCTGGCTGGGGACATGTGAGAGGCAACCAATCAATGTATCTCTCACACATTGATGTTTCTTTCCCTCTCTTTCCATCTCCCTAAAAAATAAATAAAAATCTTTAAAAATATTTTAAAACATTAAAAATTAAAAATGAAACACTAGCACAGCCAAAGACAATATAAACCTGCAGGCTGATCTCTCGTGACCTCACGAGTCAACTTCTACTAAGAACAGTATTACCTCTGCTGCCTCCGCTCTGCCCCACCATTCACTCCCTCCATCCAGCAGGTGTGCGCCCACATTACTTTTGATACACTTACAAAAACCAGAAGTTAAGACCTGTCAGTACTGGAGTTGTGTTTAAAACTTTAGAGTCTAAAGTTGATTATAAAAAGGAGACCTCCATTTTTCTGTGAAAGATGGCAAGAGGTGTAAAAATAAGTGCATGTGTCCCTTGAAGACAGTGGCATTCATGCTGTGTCTTTTCTAGGATGCATTACATGCTAGAATGACTCCACAGTATGAAGAAGCCATTAGCACTGCTCCAGTGAGCAAATATTTTTGCTTCCCACCCTCTAAACTGATTTTCCAGATTCCTTCTGGAGACTAGATTCAGGTCCAATTAGGTCACAGGTGAGTAGTCCTCCATGACATTCTCTTAGCACTAGGGGTGCTTGTTAGAGGGGTGGCTCATGCCACCTGACACCTGCATTATTCAAAGCTAGAGCTCAAGGTGTGGCCTCTTGGTCTTTTAAGGTCAACATCATCACTAAGTCCCCAGAGAAGAGCTACAGAGAGGAAGATGGAAAGAGGTTGGCTCCATGGGGAGGGACTCCTCCTCTGCCTCCTTCTCCACCTGCTGCTTCAAGGTAAGATGGGACAAGAACAAAAGCAAATCAGACATATACATTTTGAGAATCAGAGAACCAGGCTAATTCTCGTTTTTCCTAGGTAGTCAATGATTGGATGTTCATTTTGGTAAAAATGGAAACTTAGAACACTGATGGTTTAGTACCTCTTTCTAGGATCCTAAGAGTTAATTCACTCTTCTCTTTAGTTACTTTTCCACTCTCCTGCTTCTATTGGCCTCTTCTCCTTCCCTGTGTCTTTCTCTTTACAAGCATATAATCTACCCCATGGTTTCTGAATATCAGGTGATGTTATGTAAAAGAGAATTCTCAGCTTTCTTGAAACAAGTGAAATGGAACAGGAAAGAAGCTAAGAGGCAGGGCATGGATGAGACCTGTCATGAAAGAGGAACAGTTTTTCAGTATAATTTTCTCAATCTAGAGTATTTTTCCTGTTCACTAGTGAAGCAGCAATGAGGGATGGTATAATATCAGAGAGAGGTAAAAACAGATGCTACCACGTCATTCTCAGATTCTACTCCACAAAGTAAGACCAGAAAGCAGCTGGGTATAAGATTGGTATCAAGGAACTCTCTCTGAGAGAGTTTCAGGGGCTATGATTTAGAAGAGAACAATCACAACACATAGTAGGCACAATAAATACTTATTAAATTGAAAAACTGGATTCCTTCCTTAAGACCCCACATATCTCGCACTGCCACCTGATGCCACCAGCATGAAAGGCCATACCACCCTGAACATGCCCAATCTCATACTACCTACCCACCCGAATTCTTCCCTTGTCATTAAGTTATGATCATCTATACCTTATTAATATAGTGGAGGAGAACTGTGGTGGCAAAATCTGTCACTGACATCACTCAGGGGAGGTGCAAAGGTCTGTGGTGAGATTGGGGAGAACATAGCAGGACATGAAAAGCAGTGATCAGGGCTGAGTTTGCATACACCTTTGGACAGGCTTTGCGTGGAGACAGAAACAGTGGAATTGAGGATGGAGCCCTGACTCAGCTCGCCCCACCAGCTTCCACCATTTGCCTACCTGTCCAGCCCACGGTCCCTGGCTCCGGAAGGAGGGGCTCACAGGCTTGTCCCGTGCCCCCTGTCCTCTCACAGAAACAGTCCCCTGACCCCAGTGCCAGCACTGCTCTCACAGAGTCCCCGCTCTCCGACAGGAAGAGGAGACACTTTTGCCATCAATTGCTCAGGCTTTGAGCAGCACGGAGTGGATCCTGCTGCCTTCCAAGCAGCATTTGACAGAAAGGCCTTCCTCCCGATCACCAACTACAGCAACCCCGTCCGTGTCAACATCTCCTTCACCCTGTCTGCCATCCTGGAAGTGGTGAGTCCTGGCCGAACACTGCAATGGCGTGGTGGGAAGCAGTGGGTCTCCTGACTGGATTTTGTAAAATTCAGAGTTTCTTCTGTGGAGTAGGGAGTCATAACAGGAAGTGCTACAATGATATCACTGCAGGTAAAATCCATCCCTTTTTGGAATACTCCACAAAAAAACATAATCCCAATGTCCTCATGCTCTTTTTTTCACTGTTTCCCATGTGCCCTAGATTATTTGACGTACAGTGTTCAGTGGCTTATGATTTAAAATCCTAATTGCTACACAGAACGGCCTTGGAGATGAGTAAGAGGTGAGTGGTGGCATTGGACCTGACTTCACAGAGTTAATGATCCTGCATGAAAATTGTTTTTCCAGAATGTACAGCTTCAAATGATGACATCGTTCCTGTGGCTAAGTATGGTATGACAGACTCAGTTTCCCCTTTACTATAGTACCTTCCCTTTTCTGCCCCTGGGGCCAACTTTGCAGATTACAATGGATAAAGCTGAGACTACCCATGAATTAGATGAGTTCAAACAGAGCCAGACCAACAGTGAAAACACAAAACTTCTTTACTATTTTGCCAGTTTAGTGGGACAGAGATGGGGCACAGGGAGAAGGCAGAATAAAGCAAGGTCGATATTGAAATGGCTCCATCCTTGGAAATCCAAAGCCAAGCTCAAGGTCTCCCTTGAGAACATTGAGGGAGAAGTGGAAGTAACACTTCGTTAGTGATATTGTGACAGCTCATCAGAGAAGAGCTGGGAGAGTGAGGAAATGAGTGGGGAAAGAAGAGTGTGAAGTGCAGGAGATCTTAGAGCAAGACTAAAGCTAGTTCCCACTCCACTCATCCCATGTCATGGTTTCCTCTAGAAATGGTACAATCGGTTTATCGGGTGGAACCCAGAGGAATGTGGGGGCATCAGGAAGCTCAGCATAGCAACTGAAAACCTGTGGCTTCCAGATATCTTCATCCAAGAGTTGTGAGTACCAGGGATGAAAAAAGCAAGAAGGAAACCTTACCTCCAGAGAAGAGCATAGTGTAACCAATGGGGCTACACAAAGACTCAGTTTACAAAGGTGCAGTATTTGAACTTAGGAGCTTACAAAAGCCCCGGAACATGGAGATGGATTGAAGGGGGAAATCAGATAAGTGGGGCTGGAGCCCAGGAATGGAGGAACCTGAGAGAGAAAGAAGGCCAGGTCCGACGGGGAACCCACAGCACCCACCAATCCATCCTTCTCATATACAGGTTAACTGTGGATCAGGCACCTACGGGGCTCATGGCTTATGTCAACAGTGAAGGGCAAGTCCGATACGGCAGGCCAATAAAGGCGATCACCATCTGTAACCTGGACATCTTCTATTTCCCCTTTGACCAACAAAACTGCACCTTCACCTTTAACTCTTTCATCTACACAGGTGAGCGAGGCTCATAAATAATCTGTTGAGACACAGAGAAAAGGTTTTGGGTAAGAAGAGGACAGAAAGCTGGGAACAGTGAAGGAATCTCACTGAAAGGGGTGTGTAAGCTAAGTGGCAAGAAACCCAATGGTCTGGGCAAGGGGATGGGAGAATTTGAGGAGGCTGAGTTGTCTGGGTCTCTTTGCAGTGGAGAACATGGTCCTGGGCATGGAGAAGAAAGTGCAAGAGATTTCAAACATATCACAGAACCTCATCCAGAGCAAGGGGGAGTGGGTACTTCTGAGTATCCACCAGAGCACAAAGAAGACGACTGTGGGCACCGACCAGTACGACCAACTCGTTTTCCACGTGAGCCCAGGGGCCCTGGTTGTGATCTTCCCCTGAGATGCATAGTTTACGTGGCCCCAGAGCATAAAGTTTTCCACTAGAAAGTAAGCTTCCTGAGCACAGAGATTTTTATCACCTTTTCACTGATAAGTCTCCAGTACCTAGCACAGTATCTAGCACTCAGTAAAGACTGATGGAACAGATTGTCCCTGAGGAAGAAACGAAGCCCCAGTGGCAGAGATTCACAGAGAGGGAACCTCCCCCCACCCAGGGCCGTCAGAACTGTCTGCAGGGCTGGGCTTACTGGGTTTGCTTCTAAAAAGGGAGGATGGAAGACAGTGCGGGGATTACCAGAGGAAAAGTGGGGCAAGGGAGGGAGAAGAGGGTAAAAGGGGGATAAATTGTGATGGGAGGAGACTCGGTTTGGGGTGGGGAACACACAATACAATATACAGATGGTGCGTTACAGAATTGTACCCCAAACCTATATAATTTCATTAACCAATGTCACTCCAATTCAAAAAAAATTTTTAATGAAATAAAGAGATGCTAGAAAATGTATGCAACACTCTCTTGGGGATACTATGATTCCAATTCCTGGTGACCCCACAATATCTGCCACTGTCTTGCTTTCCCTCCTACTAGTCTTAAATTCCACCAGCAAAGAAAGTCACTAGGTATTAGACCTTGATGAGGAGAGCAAGCAGAAATACAAGGAAAAAATGCACATGATAACCTAAGAATCTGGCCCCTCAATTGTTCTAAGAGCATATCGTAGGGATAAAACTGAAAGTGGAGAAATTGACACTTTGGGCCAAGAAGGAATGAAATATGTTTCAGTGGTAAGAGGCATGGCAGAATCACACCCTGGGAAGGCAGACTGTGGCTATTAAGATGACTTTGTTGGAGAGACAGGACAGTGAAGGTGACTTCCTCACTAGACAGTTTGTTCTGGGACAAATCTCAGCTCTTGCTCTTAACCTGCTTGGCAGCCTCCCAGCCTGCTCCTCTCTTGGCTCTCTCTCCTCCCCACCAGGTGGCCATCAGGCGCAGGTCAAAACTCTATGTCATAAACCTTCTGGTGCCCAGTAGCTTTCTGGTTGCCATCGACGCCCTCAGCTTCTACCTGCCAGCAGAAAGCCAGAACCGCGCCCCATTCAAGATGACCCTTCTGCTGGGCTACAACGTCTTCCTCCTCATGATGAATGACTTACTCCCAGATACTGGCACCCCCCTCATCAGTATGGCCCCTTCCTCTTTCAGTAGAATAAAGGCAGTGTTGGGGATGGGGTGGGGAGAGGGACCAGGGGAACCAGTTGAAAGTGAAAAGGGACCTTTAAAAAGTGTCCTTTGAGATTAGTCAAACAACATATATGAAGCACCCATGGACATGGTCACTGGTGTGGGGACTGACATATGAAAGTGGGGGTGGAGAGGTCGTGAAGGGGAAAATTTGGAACAACTATAATAGCATAAACAATAAAACATTTAAAAATAATTTTAAATAAAAAATGCCCTTTGGGCAAATAAGAAACAAGAGGTCAGGGAGGTCCACTGGTCCTCACACAGGCTTGCCTTGCCTTCCCTCCAGATGTCTACTTTACTGTCTGTCTGTCCCTGATGGTGCTCAGCCTGCTGGAGACCATCTTCATCACCTACCTGCTAAACCTGGCCACCACCCAGCCCCCACCCATGCCCCCATGGCTCTGTTCCCTGCTTCTGCACTGCACCAGCCCAATGAAATGCTGTCCCACTGCTCCCCAGAGGGGAAACAAGGACTTGGGCCTCACCCTTGCCCACCTGCCTGGTAAGGAAGTGAGCACTGCCCACACTTCCTCTTGCAACACCTCCACTTCTCTGCTCCTGCCTCCTTCCCTGTCCCCCACCCTCACAGGTGAACTTCGCAACCCATCTTGGTTTCTGTCTCTCCTTAGGTCTGAAGGAGCCCATGGAATTTGTGGGGAAGGTGCCAGGTCCCCAAGAGGCAGAGTCAAATGGTTGCCCTGGGTCAGCAAGAATCTGTCAGGAAGGTGCGGTTCAGAAGCAGCACTTGGTCAGCCTGTGGATACAGTTCAGCCGCATGATGGACACCCTGCTGTTCCGCCTCTACCTGTTCTTCATGGCCACCTCCGTCATTACAGTCATTGTCCTCTGGAACACCTAGGCAGATGCCCACCTGCAAGCTCTAGTCTGCAGCTTCTGTTGCCTCCAAAAACCAGCCGGGCTCTCATGCCTATTCAAATCCCAGCCTCACAGCCCTGACAGCCACCTCATTTTTCAATCCAGTCCTTTTATGCAGTCAAACTGGACGTGGATGGTTTCCTATATCCTCCCAGGGCCAGGTCCTTGCTCCTGCAGGCTGTCAACTCCCCTCAGTCGTCCCACCAGTCTCGCTTGCCTGGCTTCTTAGGAATACTTCCTTGATTGAATCACCCTTAATAAATCCCTTCGCAGAAAGCACTGGTTCTTCCCTGTATTATATTATAGTATAAAAAAACTTGGGATTAAGAGTTTTATTGCAGAAACTTCTCATCACCCAAAGGATTTTTTTAAATGGTTTATTAGTCAACTTGGGGAAGTAGAAGGTGGGAAAGAAGAGGCCAAATTTATTACAAGGAATTATAATAAAAGAGGAATTAACCTCCTAAATCCGGTTATCCTGGATTTCAGAATTAACAATGTGCCAGAACCGGGCATCTCCTGTTTAAAGAGTAAAGTCTTTTGTCACCACCTGACATATGACTCATTGTCATCAAGCACTTAGAGCATTAACATACATAATCCCAAATTACTGTTAACTATGTTGCAATGACTTGACCTGCCTTTAATCACACTAAAAAGAGAACATTCGGCCAAGGAAGCACATTTGAAAATGGCGTTTGCTTTATTTGGGAGTTACACAAAGGAACTGGAAAATTTGATTTTGCAAGTCTTTGTCTACTGACCATCCCTCCCACTGGCTGCCTGGGGGAGTAGAGACCCCTGTGTCTCTGTGCTTGAGAGCTGAGACATGGTTTGCTGGACACCCCAGGTTCAGAAAAGTACAGATTTGCGAGCAACATAATTACAACTCAAACCTTCTTTTCTTTTTAGCAGCCATTCCCTTTTTCTTTCTTTCATTTCTCCTACTCTCTGTCTAAAGCTTAAATTTCCCAGGTCACAACGGGCTAGGAGTGAAAACAGAGAAGTAATACTGCTCACTAATGGTATTTTCCTGGTTCCTCCTCCCCACCGTTCTTCCTCAAACACCTCAGCTCCCTCTGGTCGCCGTGGATGCCCAAAGGTGGCCGAGCTGCCAACGTCCACTCCCACCCCAGCGTTCTCTGCCGGCAGGAGCATCTGCCCTCCCGGCCAGTGCCCGAGACACTGGAGGGCTGACTCCTGCAGCACAGATGTTCCCAGCTGGAAGCTGAGTCTCCAGGACAACCTGGTACTGGCTCTATCCTTGCTTCCCCAGCTGCAGGCAGGAGTCCATGGGAATTGGAAATTGGAGGCAGAAATAACCCGCAATATTCCGAATTGCTCCTTTCACTCAGGCACCTGGTCTTTCGACTGAACTTCAGTCCCTTAATTCTTCTTTTTCCCTCTGCATTGTTTTTCCAGGAAGATCTTTGGCTCCTGTTTCTAGAACCCTGTCAAATACTCCCATGACCATCACCAGTTCTCCACGCATGTCCAAGACCCAGTGCAATCTAGGCTCGAATCAGGAGCCCTGAATTCACCTACAGAAATTAATGTGTCTTATTATTTTGGCAGTTCCTCAACTCACAGCTTTCTACCGAGTGGGTCTTTAGAAAGGGTATGGTACAGTAGTACTAATATCCAACATTTATTAAGTTGTTAGTATGTGGAAGGCAGTCTTCTAAGTGCTTTATGTGAGTAAAGACATTCAATCCTTACAGTTACCCTATGAAATAAGAACTACAGATCTACAAACACAAAGCCGAATGTGTTTTTGAATTTGAAAAATTTCAGATTTTAAAAAGGTAACAGTGGTGCATATGCTGCAACACTGTTACCTTTTTAATTTTGTTATTCTTAACAAGTGGGATATGGTGCGGCACCCGACAATCAAATATTAATACCGCTGCTGTGCAATCTACAGTAGCAAAAATGAAACTACAAATGGTTTCATCCATTCAGATCATGTTTTGCCATGAAACAATTTGTGAAAAATCACTTGGTTTTCAAAGCTCTTTAGGTTTTAGAACTGTGGTTTTTGTTGCATTATCCTAATTTTATATATTCAAATAAATGAGATGAAATAAAATGAGAAAATGAAGCAGAAGGAGGTGAAGTAATGGCCAGTGAGCTGTGGACTGCGGTTCTACAGCTAGTTAAGTGGCAGAGCTGTGGTTTGAACCTAGGCAAGCTCTAGATACTGGACTCCTACCCTCACTGCCCGTCCAAGCCAAGGATGAGAACCAGACAGGTTCTCTAAGAGTCCTGTGTTGAGAGATCAATGCCACTTCAAGACTTCATTGGGTAACACATTAAGAGAATTAAAACAGAAAGAGCAAGGCCCTGATCTGGGTGCCAAAGACCAACTTTCTTTTCTATTTCCTTTTCCTCCCTCCCTCAGTTTTCCCCACTTCTCACTCCCTCCCTCCCATCCCCATCATAAATCACAACACCCAAGTTCATTGTTCCCATTTTACCCACTTCTTTTAAGAATGTATTTCCCTAAATCTAATCTGGGCAATTCATCTAACCTCTGTGTTCCCTCAGGTTTAGTGTTTGCCGCCGAGACCCATGGTCAGATACTTTCAGATCCTCCACTCGTCTGCCCTACCCTGAGACCATCTCCTCACCTGGAAACTCATCGTTCACACTGTGGAGTAGCCCATTCACCCAGAGTTAGAGCGGTTCTGAAACTACTTAAGATCAATTTGCATCACTTTGTTTTTTCTATCCACTTTCCCGGTATATATTTCTCTGCTTATTTCCTTCACATTCATTCCAAACAAGTGGCTTTAAGTTATATTTGAATAGGATATATGCAACTTATCCTTTTTTGACACACAAATTAAGATGCCGTATTTCCTTTCAGTATGAGCAGGGCATAGTATAATTATAGTGATTTTATCTTCTCCAAAATCAAAATCCGAACATGTGATCTTAACATATAACCGATAATCAGATAGAACCTTTTGAAACTAGAGCTTTCCCAGAAAATGGACAGGTGTGGTCGCTGCCTTTCTGTTCTATCTATAACAGAATCATATGATAAGCACACTTTGTGCTGAAGACTTTTCTCTTGTTATGTGGCAGACCGGTGAAAGGCTTTGCACAGTAATGTGTGACCTCTTTAGAAAAGTCTGCGGACAGGCACCCGGTGGGGCCTGGACTGTCTTGCATGTGATGATCTAGTTCTGCCTAATTGCTCCTCATCTCGTTAGTTCATCTGCAGGGCTGCCCTGCGGTCCTTGCACACATTTCGTTCACCTTCTTCTCTCTAAACCCTTATAAATAGTATTTTTCATGTTTTCTGCATTTTCATGTTACATCTTAACTGGACATGAAAATTTCTTCTCATTGCCGTCTTTTCCTCCTCCTCTTCCTCCAGACCTGCTCCAGGATGTGAAGTTGCAGACTGCATTTCAAGCCATTTTTTCTCCTCTCCAATTTCTGACCCTTCCTTTGATAACCTCCCTTTTTTGATCATTCATTGGCACTAGTTATTGGACAGAGTAGGAAAAAATAGTGTAGTACAGAGACTTTGGCATCCAGCAACCCTGGATTCTAATCTGACCCCATAACTCGCTAGCTGGGTAACCTTGTACAAGTGGCTTAACTTTGCAAGATTAAATTTTTTTATTTGTGAAATGGAGCTAGTAACACAGATTAAATTATTTTTAAAATATGGATTAAAAAAATAATTGATAAGTGCACAGAAACTAGAAAGCCCTGAGTGACACACGAAAGAGCATCTATTTATCACGCAGGATGACACTTAGAGACCAAAACCAGCTTTTAGGGGGGAGGCAATAGACTTAAAGAATTACAGACCTTACAGTTCTTGTTATTTAGATGAGAAAAATAGAGTGGAGAAAAGTAAAATGATAAATATGGGGGGGGTCACATGTCAAGAGAGCCTGGGATCGGAGCGTGAGTCTGTCGAAGTGGCAGCCACAGGTGAGTGCTTATCTATGGGACTCTTTTCCCAGGTGCTTTTCAGGAGTCCCAGGACCCTCCATCTCTCCTGGTACAGGCACCGTCGTGAGTCTGACCTCAGCTATACGCCATCCTGCAGTTGGCTGATTTGGCTGCCTCCTGTACTTCTGGCTCCTGAGCCCTAGCCAGCAGTCTGTGGACGTGACTGCCATCCACATGTGCTGCAAAACAAGGACTCTCACTTCCCCCTGCCACCATCTGACTCTGCCCTTGTCAGGTTACAGCTATTTTCCCAGACCTGATCCCCCAGGGTCCCAGATGAATGGGGTCACCAAAGAACCAGGCAGTATGAGCCCTTCCCCCCTTAGAATAAGCTAAGAAGGGAGGTGTTGGTGTCTGTGACTTGTGAAAGTACAGCTCCCATCACCACTGTTTAACCTTGGATTCCGGCATTATCTAGGCCTGGGGATTTCATTGGTGGAAACCTGGAGGCCGACTCATCAATCCACCAGACTTCTCAGCCACGGAATAATGAAAAGAGCAAGGAAAGAGCAATGGAATCAAACTGACCTGGGTTTGAATCTGGATTCTACCAATTTCCACTTGGGTGGACACTGAGCCAGATTTTTTTTTTTTGCCTCTCTGCACCTCAGTTTTCTAATCTGTAAAATGGGAGTAGTAATAGTGCTGGCCTCTCAAAGCAGTTGTGAGGATCTGAATGCTGCAAGCAAAATCCCCAACACAGTATAAATCACATGGCACAAACTCATAAATGGTAGCTCTGGTGAGGCCGCTCTGAGCCTGCCCTTTACTGGCAACTTAGAGGGGCCGTCAGGGAAAAAAAAAAAGGCAGGGCCCTGGCTCCAGCCCTCTGGATCCCACCTGCTTCAGACTGCTGTGCTTCCATCAACCCCTGTCTCCACCTAACTGCACCCAAGGAGGGGCCCCCACCTCAGCCACGCCATGGGAACAGCAAGTAACTTCTCTGATATGACCTCAGGACTCCCATGAGGTTCCCAGCCACCTTTCTTACATCTGCCCAAAGGTGCCTGTGTCTCTCTCCTCATCCACAGTGAACTGTCAGGCCAGGTATTTAACTAACGTTTATTAACTACACATTACTGTATGCCACACTCGGAGGGAGAGTGGGGGCGAGCAGTGGAAGACAGATAC